AAATTTTCTAATTTTCGTAAACTTTCCAGGCTATAGAGAAACGAAAAATAATCAGTAGGAGTATAATCATTATGCTAACGGAATTTTTCAATTAACAGGGCCAAATAAACTTTAATGGTGCAGATAGGGAATCCAACGCCTACATCTACCAGTTTTTAGGTAATCATAGATATTCTTGTAATTTTTCACCTTTATACATGACGCACGATAGGTATGCGAAAGAGGAACTTCGTTATGGGGAGGATAAGACAATTATATGAGTGTGATAAAGTGTCTTCTCAAAAATACAACACGAACTACAGTTTCTTGTAAACTTCACTTTATTACATAAGATCAGGTTTGTCTCATAACTACCAAGGACTATCTGAATTATCACAGCAATATTCACAATTTATATATAACTAGTGCAAACTCCCGTCGCTTTGCTGACGGTTTACGATAATGTGCTCATTGAACAGATAGTATTACCATTTGTCGTAGACCTATCAGAGGTTCAGTAACTTTATACCGTGTACTGTATGCTGTACAAATGTACGGTACAGCACTACAATACTGTACAGTACTTTTACTACAGTACTCATATTGTAGTACAACCGAACCGACGAACCACAGTTTACGTCGACATACAGTACAGTAAATCGGTTCGGAATCGAACCTCTGACTTAACAGATAGTATTACCATTTGATAGGCCTGTCAAAGGTTCAGTAACTTTTTACCGTGTATCAATTCATAATTCGCACTTCTAATTAAAGCGTTAAAAATCTCACCCTACTAACACAATTAGCGCTATCTATTATTATCTCAGAATCTTAATATAAGCATCTCAATACAATGCTAACAAAAAACTATCAGAATTTGTCCAAACACAGATAGATTTAAGCTTCCATCTATCTAAATAAGGCTCACAAACGCTATCATTAATTTTATTCATAATTTTAACCGAAGTATAATAAAATTGCTGTTATCTTAATAAATACGAATAGGTCCTTTAATTACGGCTCCTATACACTAGGAATTGAATTCGGTCATCAAATACGTACCTTGATTCGTTACGGTTGCAGACCTTTCTACGATGGCTATAGTACTTTAAGTATAGAGCAGACTTCATTATAATAGTGGATGCATCTAAAGTGATCATGACTGAGGATATTGTACCATGGCATATGAAAATCCAAATGCACACTCACTTTAATTACCGCTTCACAGTTTTGCGTCTAGAAATTATTCTAGGTTAAGGTTTGGCATGCCGTTTTACGGAGCAAACTCTATATAATTTTCCGCATTTCACCTATTCTATTTAGTTATAATTTATTACTTATCGATTATTTTGGCGTCTTTCATAAGTAAAACATTCGGTAGCTGGTTGAAACTACTAAAGCGTTAGTCGAATTTGAAGAATGCTAAGTTATAACGAAGTGATAATCTTAGACTAACATTTATTTAATTATCGAGCAATATCTTATTTTGGTATTCGTTGATAGTACTGTTGCATACGATGTTTTTCAAACTTTTATATGTATTACAACTACATGGTCTTATAGTATTATCTAAACACCGATAATTATAATTAATGTTTATGTAGACGTACTATATATTAATTACAATTTGGCTTCGTTTTATTTACTTTAAGGCAATAAGAGTGATAACTATACTGTACAAGTTGGGATTTACCAAAGGAAGCTTGACACAATTGAATGGGATCCAAATCAGCGAGTTCAATGGTTAGGTAAGACTGTAAATATACTATTTACTATTCATGAATAAATACCACTTGCTTAAATGCTCTCAAAATAATGCAACGCATTTGTACCGTTCTCTCCTTGTAACAGGTGATCGAGTACCGGTATCACATGTTTCCATCGAAACAGAAACTATTTCTATATCAATTCCAGCCTTAATAGCGTTTACAATCCTCTCTGGAATAGGAATATTGTTCTGCATCGGCTTAATTGCTTTTACTCTAAACTATCGTCATGACAGGTATTGTAGTTACGACGTTTTAGCATTATAAATTAATATCCATATAAATTTATGTACTATAGAGCTTACATCACCATCTGTTTGAAGTTTAAATATCAATATCAAATATAATCAACATAGTCTATTGTAAAAGGTTAAAGAAATCTGTACCATCTGCCATTATTAATATCGGTATGCTAAATTTCCAGGCATATTAAATTATCCAGCCCTCGTATTAATATCGTTAGCGCTATAGGATGCTTGATTTGCTATTTTAGCATAATCGTGTTTGGAATCGACTCTGGAGTTGTTCCTTTAATCACCGTACCAGCATTTTGTACAGTGAAAATTTGGCTCTTATGCATTGGATTTACTTTCGCTTTTGGTGCTTTATTTGCCAAAACATGGAGAATTCATAAAATTTTTACTTGTAAAACTAGGCAATCTGTAGTAAGATCATATATTAGCGAGGGCAAAATTTATCCTTTGTACAAACATTGAATATTTTTAAATGGTTACAATAGTTTAAACATAAGCCTTTTATTCTTTATACGGTTAATTGAATAAATTTTGTCCTGCTTTTCGTTTAGGTTATCAAAGATTGGCATTTGTTGACGACGGTTTTCCAGTTATTAATCATTGATGTTATTATTTTACTATGCTGGACCATTATCGACCCTATGCAGCTAAAGCACCTTACAATTACAACACAGGTAAAGCTAGTAAAATCATTCAAAAATATTTACATTGATGTAATAAAATATCTTCAAATAATAGAATAAGAACTAGAGTTTCTTGTATACCTTAACTTATTATATAAATTAGGCTCGTCTTACAATTACCAACGACTTTTAGTTGCAATTAGACTATTTTAATTGTTCTTGTAAAATTTATCATTTATAGACTGAACTACAGCACAGACAAATTTCATTACAGCAGTATTACTAATTATATATCAATTAATGGATAGTATATCGCATTATTTGATATTGAGCGTGAATTAAATTTACAATAGGAATACTTATCTTTTATTCCATGAATCGAATATGGTTTTAAACCATCAATTTATTTGCAATCTAAGTTATCATTCTTGCATGGTTCAACATTAGCACAGTAATTACTCAGTAAATGTTTTAAGCATCTATTTGTTCGTGAATTTGTGTGGTAGTCACTTGATTATCCTTTAAATGTTAAGGGCTCATAATATAAGAGGATAGCTCATAAGAAAACGCTTTCTGAATGAAGTCATTTACTTGATAATAATGACGATACAAAGGAATGAATTAAACGTTATAAACACACATAGCGTAAACGATATTAGCTAGTAATAGCAATTTCTTATTAACCACTATAATTATCAACTATAGATCAATCAAGATGAATCAAATACCATAAGTAGACAATTACAATACTACTGCAGCTGCAACCAGATCGTGGTCTGGATGGCTATTGTTTTTGGATATAAATTCTTATTATTACTCATTGGCAGTTTCTTGGCTTACGAGACAAGAAATGTGACTATTCCTGCGCTGAATGATTCAAAATTTATTGGATTTTCAATCTACAATGTCACATTACTGGCTGCTGTAGGTAGTATCATTTCTTTCGTCGTCAGAGCTAGTCCAACAACTCTGTATGTGCTCCATGCGATATTAATATTTATCTGCAGTACAACAACACTAATGTTTATCTTTATTCCTAAGGTATTTATACGGCTTTAAACGAAATATTCCTGATCATAATCGAATCTTTTTAGTAAAGTGAGATTGAATTTTAAATATAATGAATATAATTTTGTAGATTTATCAATGGAAACTTGATCGAAAACATGCTGAAGGGGCCTCCACAGGTATAATACATTCAAGTGTAGAGCCTATTGGTTGTTCTCCTGGTAGCAACAACTCTTCGATTGTGATGAGTAGACAAGAAAAAAAATTAAATGCAGAATTGTTAAGAACTCGATTGCAAGAGGTAAATATTCATTTTTATTTGCTTAGCAACTACAAAATTATCTATACTAATTATGACTAAAAGTTAAAGATTTCGAATTTTATTACTCCTTCTGAAATCGTTGACGATAATACTTTTTTTGTTTATTTAGAGCTATAAACACTACCATGAATTGAAAAGGGAAATTGATGCAATTCGGCATCAATTAGCTATTTTGGACTGCGAAGAAACATTGATACCAACGATGTGAATGTTGTGAATGTTAGATAAAATAAATCATCAGTCTTCATAGAATTATTATAGCATTTACAAGCTCGCCTACTTTTGCATAAACCTCGACTTCTGTTATTAGCCAAATTAGTTCATGTTCTGGTTATAAATTGGTTAAGAATAGTGCACGATATCATAATATATTTACATCTCACCAAATTTTGGAAGCTGTGTATTAACCGCTGTGTCTTTAATCTCTTCCATTTTTACTCCGGGTGATCATCATCGTACTTTACACCTTATTGGCGCCTTCAATTTGCCTAGTTATTATTTCAAGTATTACCTATTCGATTTAGAAGATATATACTAAAATTAACTATAAAAACTTAGTAAGCTCACAATATTTGCCCATCCAATTATAGTTATCTCAGCTATTTACAGTGGTGACATAAAGTTCGGTAACACTACGTCACATTAGGGATTTTATTAATTTTAATGACTCAGATTTCGAGTTAGTGAGTTATGAACCTAAAGGGTTACAAAATCCATTCAATACGCCTATGTAGATTGAAGTACATTAAAGCCTTAGTATGAATATAATAAGCGTTAAATGTAACGCTAATAATATTTAAGAACTTCATTAACATTAAATCATCATTCCTCTTCATTGCAGTAGCAAATAAATTGGCAGATGGCAATAAATCGATAAAATAAATTGCCGTACTATTGAGATAGATTACTGTAATACGAATACTAGCACCTTTGGGCATTAAAGTCGATAATTTTACTCTTTACTTATCTGTAATATTTAATTTCAGCTCATCATTTTCAGCGACTTCAATGAATGCGTGTGTTTACTAGTATACTATTTCTGTTAGGTATAAACTATACTATTGTTACGAAGTGTAGCTCCGTAAATTATAAATTAGGCAATAATAATTAATTAACCTGGTTGTTTACCATTTTGGTAGACAACCATGGGGCACTAGTACTGGTTGTTTACTATAATGGAGCAATCAACAAGGATTAATTATATGTAGCTAGATATAATATCGTTTAATATAGGATTAGCTAATGGGAGCGCACTGCTCCAATAATTAATTAATTGTATTGGTGCTGAGCTCAGGCTCGCTGATTGGCACCATAATTGGTTGTTTTTCATTAGTGTTGTTTACTATCCAAGCTCATACTAAGTCTTGTTAATTGTCTGGGAGTAATTCCCTACAGTAACTTATACAATTGTGGAAGGAGCAATTTAC